GAGAGTGAGTGAGTGAGAGAGAGAGAGAGAGAGAGGCTGAGGGAGAGCGTGGAGGGAGAGGGAGATTGTGTGGTGAACACCAAAATTAGTTTCGATAGCACTTTACGTCTACACTCTCTGCCCTTAACCCGAAAACTTCAAACTAATAGTAGGAGTTGTTTACAATGTTTATAACGCATACGCTTCGAGGCGATAGACACTGATATTGAAAAAATAGTGGTTATACGGGTTTTTATTAATGCGACAAAAAATTTATCAATGAATTTGTTAGCAATACTATGATTACAGCATCAATAAAGCCATTTGATGAATACTGTATTAAACATAGGACTCATAAATGGATAGTTAAGGCGTTCGCCAAATATGGTATAGGCTTTGGATTGACAATTAAAGAGTGGAGAAAACATTTTAATGTTTTCGATGTTTTCGTATTATTTGTTTGAACACAAACTGCTGTTGAAAAGCAAAGATCCGATAGTCGTAGGAGTGGTAGGAGTGGTAGGAGTTCCACTCAATATAAGCTAACTTCTCATTTCAAGGCTCATCACAATTAGTGGATTTTCAGTTACCATACAATTCTGCTGCAAAGTAGTGCTCAAATATATAGATATCAAACAAATCTCATGCTATTCAATGCTACTCTTTGTTTGCTTTATAGACGTGTTTTCAAGACCTATCAAAGGGTTGGATAATAAAAATATCTAAAAATTGAATCATGTTTTCCGAAAAATGATTACAATTAAAATAAATAAATTCCTAAACTGCTGTAATAAATAAATAAAGATTTCCATATATTGTTTGTAAAATGAAATTTCTTAATAAACATTTAAAATATTATTTATTATTATAGAAATTCCTCTTACTTTAGTTAACATTCAATATACGAATAAATTACAAAATTTTGGATATATTTAGATCTGTTTATATTACTATTAGTATTCTGTAACTCATGTTTATTTGTGAATCATTTGGAAATATAATATAGCGACAAAATAATTGAATTAAAATTTTAAATAAAATTACGTTAATTGAGTCAATAGTTAATTGAAGTCAATTGGAGTCAATTGGATATATGAAAAGCTCTTCAATTAAATGTCATTTTAAATTACGAAATATAATACAAGTGATGAATATTTATTTATTTGTATGAATTGAGGATTCCTTATAACCATAAGAATCATAGACACGAATGCATACAAAATGTAAGACAAAAAGTAATTGCAATTCTTCCACACATTTCTTATAGGATTAAGAAATTTCCGAAATCAATGTTTTGAGTGCTCGACCTTCAAGTGAATTGTGTTAACGATTATAATTAGATTTAAAAAACATGTAAAGAGAGGCTTCCATCAGGTTTTATAGATCTTTCAAATTTCAAACTCAAGATCTTCTCAATGTTTGTTCTGTTTTTCATAACCATCACAACTGTTTCTTCAGAAAAAATGTCAAAATACCAAATCAAACGATTATTTTTAGATATTCTATACGCGTATACAACAAACAAATGCTTACAATATATGCTTTACTGACACAGACTCTAAAAAGGAGTCTTTTGGGCACAATTCCAGTGTATTGTACAGAAAATTACTGTTAAACTAAATGATCGTATTATTTGATGATATTTTCGTTATTTTATTTTTATAATCAGACAAACAGACAACAAATTTAAGATTTCACTATTTATGAGAAATTTTTGAAATATGCTTTTAATGCTTTTAGTTTAATGTATTATTTATATTCTTATAAATCTATTAATACATTATTTAACCATATACATGTAAAATGAGGTCAACTTAAACAAAATATGAGCTCTCAAGATTTTGTATTATTTTTTAAATTTCATGTTATTATTGTGTAAGATTATTTTATTTATTAAATGAGTATACAATTAAATAAGTTATCATTTTAAGCACAAAACATAACCAGATAAGAATCGTAAAATTATTGAAAATAAATTTATTATTTAATCTATTTTCATTTTACGATTTTAGGGGACTATTAATAGGTTTAATAAAATGTAAGTCAGACATCATTTAGTGGTCTATAATTCGTATAATTTTTGTCAACTAAAGTAAAAATAAATAATAATTATATCATATTTTGAACACAAGGTCATAGAGTGTTACAAATTTTGGAAAACATTCACTTTTAGCTCTTGTGCTCCAAAAAACAGTCATCTTTTAGCCAAAAAACTTATATATGATATGAGTTTCGGGACGCAGAGCGCACTCACACTCCAGACTTCTATCGTAGAGTTGGCTGAGAATAGGAGTTCCTCTCGACTCACATATTGTCCCGACTCTACACTTCATGTTTCAGAGTTTTGGGAACCATAGCTCACTCGTGCCATAAGTGCCGTTCATTTCATATAAGTTGTGACTGATTTGTCTCATCAAAAATGGCCACAACTTATACCCGAACGACATCTCGTCGAACGACCCATTCGTACGATAGCGGCGGCGGCTCCCTATCCGTATCACCCATGCCTTCCCATACTTCCGATCACTTAACATTACCACCAAAAGTGGAACTCCTCAGAACACCTTCACCTAAGGATAAGATCGAAGAACAAAAGGATATGAAATACCACAGCCATCACCTGGATTACAAATATACACCGCCACCAGTGAAAGGCCCCTGTATTGCCTGTGGCATGTATATCGTCGGCTCGGTTCGTACTTTTCATTACATTATATCATAATTTAATTAGTTGTTAAGTATTATATTTCACTCATTTTTAGTATACTACTACTGTTTAATGTTCTCATTTCATAGTAACTAAGCTTTTGTTATACTGTACTGACTTCAATAATTTAATACAAATACAGAATATTCTACCAAACTGTTAGACTCAGTGATTATAGTATGCTAAAAATAACTTCATATAAAACAGTAATGTATTACAATATTTCTATAGAAATCTTTTTTGAAAGATTTATAGCTTAAACTATGATTTAACATTACATTAAAAATTATTTAAAAATATTTAAAATGTTTTATAATTTTAATATTGTTTAATACAGTCCTAAATTCTAATAGAATTTACTTTAAATCTCTGTTAAGCTATTTTAAAACATTTACAACTCATTTTATCCTGTTTACTTGAGTTTAAAACTTGTGTAAAATATGTTAATTATAACACCATAACTATTAATTATTTATCAAACTATGTCTTAAAATTTTTTCTTTATATTTTTATAATTTTAAACAAATATTACAAAAACCATTAATCATTTTGTGTCAATATGTGAAAACAAATACTCTTTTATTAAAAATGATAGAATAAATACAAACATGAACATTTTATTAAAAATATATAATTCTTATAATAACATTACAAAAAAGAGATTATTGTAGAAATAGATAGTTTAAATTGTTTTTTAAATGATGAATAACTGGTAATTGTTTGAAACAGTTGGTGACAGCATTGGATGAGATGTGGCACCCGGAGTGCTTCACTTGTGTCAACTGTGACACCATTCTCAAGGCATACAACTACCAGGTTCAGGACAATAAGCAGTATTGTAAGCCGTGTCACGAGAAACTCTTTGGTCCGCCCTGTTCTGCGTGCCATAAGCCCACCAAAAACGTCAGTTTCTATACAATCCATATGTTTGTTACAAATATAACACATAAGACATTGTCTACAGAATCGGATGATTGTGTTGAACCGCATTTGGCACCCGAACTGCTTCTGTTGTGTGGAGTGCGGGAAGATCCTGACGGTCGACAACTTCATTGAGCGCTTGGGTTCCCCCTATTGTAAGGAAGACTATCACCGACTCTTCTCTCCGAAGTGTTGCGTCTGCACCGAACCCATCAAAGACGACTCTCTCTCTCTCTCTCTCTCTCTCTCTCCCAACAAAAGCAAATCAAATTGTTCACAATATATTACATCCATATATAGAATATTCACTAATAATTAATTACGATTTAAAGGAATTAAACCTAAAGGCTGTCATATATTCACAAATAGTAGTGATTTTAGTCTCAAATGAAACGCTTCACAAATTTTTTATATTTAGAGTTTAGTTTACAATTGAGTCGATTTTGGGATACATTTGAAAGTTGAGTGAGCATTGGGTCAGTCGGCAACTAAACCATGGATTTGAGTTCAGTTGAGTACTCGAGTGAACTTCATTCGGGTCTCCATTCGGGTCTCCATTCTTCGGGACTGAGTTCCGCACAACTCATCTCAGGCTCCCGTTCCACTCAATTCCGCTCAGAATTCCATTCCACTGAATATAACAACACGTCTAATGGCCAGACGGGACGGGTATCTCCCGTGCTATCAGAGCTCGACAGTGAAGAGCTCAACAACACGTCTAATGTTGAGACGGCTCTCGACTATACGGCAAAAGAGAAATTACTGAAAAGATATGGAGAAAAACACAGTCAAGAGAGGAGTTCCTCGCGAACCTCACGACGGGTCAAGTTATACGACGAGAACCAGAAGTTTGATTACAACCACTTCGCGACTATACCGCCAAATGCGGCCAAATCTCCCGGAATGAACCGCAAGACTACTTACGATCGCCGCTCACCCTCTCCGTCGCCTTTAGACCCGAGAACTCCCTCTCCTATTCACACAATCAATGTCCCGCCAAAGGTTGTCGAGACTAAGACTGAGGCTCAAGTGGTGATTGAAGATGGCAAACATCACTGCAAATACCACAGTCACCACTTGGATCATGAATACTGTCCCCCACCTGTCAGAGGTCCCTGCGTTGCCTGTGGACAGTATATCGTTGGAAAGGTTAGTTATTCTATATTCTTATATTATTTTAATAAATGCCATTTAAGAAGTAAATTACAAACACTAAACAAAACAAACAAATTACTTAATTCTTGTTTTGAAAAATTGTGTTTATTTTTATAATTATAACCCAATTCGTTAATATTCTTATACAATATTCATCAAAATATGCCAATTATTGGTTTACAGTAATCAGTAATTTTCCGGAATGCTGTTAGGATAACCCATTAATTTGTTATAGAATAACCTTGATCCATTAGTTTAAAATAGTGTATATTTACAAATACAACTCAATTTATATAAAGCACAGAACTCATAAACTTATATAATTAAAATAAAAATGTATTAATATAATAACATGAATGAGAACAATAACTTTAAAACCATATTGTTTCAAATTGTTATTGTGCAAATCTTTAAAATTTAAATAATTAAAAATATTTTACATTATTTTTCGACAAATTCTGTTTTAAGGACAAATCCTACTCACTTGTCAGTATTAAATTCATTAGTTATTTATTATCTTAAATTTCATATTACTTATTTTAAACACAATTTCTATATAGGAGACATTTAATAAAATTTAGCACATTAAATTCTTCAGTATTAAATACTGCAGTATAAATCTTATTAAATAAACAATAAAAACTAATTTGAATATTATGATTACAGTATATTATTAAATTTTAAGATTTAATTTGTTATTATAAATTTTAAAATATTTTTCTTTGACAAAATAATTCTTTTAATAATTAATAATTTGATACCTCACAAAATTCACAAACTAGGAATTAAAAACTTATACAAATTAAAATAAAAGAATTTAAAACATGATAACTAAAATAATAATGAAATGCTATAGTTATTGCGGGCTATGGATGAGATGTGGCACCCGGAGTGCTTCACGTGTACTAATTGTGACACTCTTCTCAACAACGAGAACTTCAAGCCTCACGACAATAAACCCTATTGTGTGCCCTGTTATGAGAAGCTGTTTGGTCCGCCCTGTACTGTGTGCAAGAAGTCCACACAAGACGTTAGTTATAAAGCAATTGTAAATTCTTGATTGTAATTTATAATGCAATGGTGTCTATCCTACAGAATCGATACCACGTACTGAACCGCATATGGCATCCCGAGTGCTTCTGTTGCGTGGAGTGCAGCAAACGGTTGACTCCCGACAACTTCATCGAAAGGATGGGCTCTCCTTATTGTAAGGAATGCTATCATAAGCTCTTTTCGCCCAAATGTTGCGCCTGTAATCTCCCCATAAAAGATGTATGAATTACTTGTTTCGTATATTCCTCTTAATTCTATGAAATATATAAATGAACTTTTCACGAATAACTAAAATAGAAAGCGATTAATGCTCTGGGTAAGATGTGGCACACCTATTGCTTTAAGTGCACAGCTTGTGCTATTCCTCTGGAGGAGAGGAACTTCTACGAGAAGGATGGAAAACCTTATTGTGAAAAGGATTACCACAACTTGTTTAACCCGAAATGTGTGAAATGCAAACTTCCGATTACTGTATGCAAATATAAACACATTGTTAATAAAATTTATATTAATATGCTAATTTCTTAAAGGGCCGTCAAATGACAGTCAATGGTAAGCCATGGCATCCGGAGTGCTTCGTTTGCACCGTATGTGTTAAGCCATTAACACCAGACAATTACAAGGAATATCAAGGAAAGCCATACTGCGAGGACGACTACCACAAACTATTCTCTCCTAAATGTGCCGGTTGTAAGACACCAATTAAAGATGTAAGACTTGTATAAATATAACATACCCTGTAGTTGTGTTCCCGTTTCAATATGAAGTGTATTGAATATAAAAATTTAATTCATTAATAGGAAAATAAAGTGAATGCAATGGGAAAACAATGGCACCCGAGATGTTTCACGTGCACTAACTGTGCCAAACAATTGGGACCTAATAATTTCATTGAGAAGAATGGCAAACCTTATTGTGAAGATTGTAATCACAAGCTGTTCTCACCAAAGTGTGCTGATAAGCCATTAACACCAGACAATTACAAGGAATATCAAGGAAAGCCATACTGCGAGGACGACTACCACAAACTATTCTCTCCTAAATGTGCCGGTTGTAAGACACCAATTAAAGATGTAAGACTTGTACACTTTCAATATGAAGTGTATTAAATATAAAAATTGAATTTATTAATAGGAAAATAAAGTGAATGCAATGGGAAAACAGTGGCACCCGAGATGTTTCACGTGCACTAACTGTGCCAAACAATTGGGACCTAATAATTTCATTGAGAAGAATGGCAAACCTTATTGTGAAGATTGTAATCACAAGCTGTTCTCACCAAAGTGTGCTGGATGTCACCTTCCCATCACTGATGTAAGAATTTTAAGATATTTTGTTATTAGTGTTAAGTTCTGTTATATTACAGAATTACTATTATTAACAATAAATGAATCCATAAAATAAATTGAAACCAAATCTAAATTAAAACTAGAGTAAATTTTCTAAAACAATTTAACTAAAGGGTATTCAAATAAATGCAATGGGCAGGACCTGGCACCCCATGTGCTTTACATGTACTAACTGTGCTAAACCTTTGGGACCAAAAAAATTCTTTGAAAAAAATGGAAAACCTTATTGTGAGGATTGTAATCACAATTTGTTTTCCCCAAAATGTGCTGGATGTCACCGTCCAATAACTGATGTAAGAATTAACATCTACTTTCTATGTACTGTAGCTACATACATAATTGTTTAATAGATACATTTTAGTATTCTTAAATTCTACAGAATATTCTGATGTAATAATTTTAATTTAAAACTAAATAGAGATTGAGTTAAGATATACTAAATGATAATATAAATTATAAATTAAAGGGAATACAAGTGAAGGCAATGGGCAAGACATGGCACCCCATGTGCTTTAACTGTACTAACTGTGCCAAACAACTGGGACCAAATAAATTCATCGAAAGGAATGGCAAACCTTATTGTGAAGACTGCAATAACAACCTATTTTGTCCAAAGTGTGCTGGCTGTCAACTTCCTATTACTGATGTTAGCAATCACGTTTTAAACATAAGAAAACTAATATTTTTTATTATAATAATTATGCTAAATCATTTCTTATAAAATATTTTACAGAGATGAATTTAGACGTTTAAAATTATTTTAATATTCTATATATACTAATTTATTGAAAATTCAGGGAAATATTGTCAAGGCAATGGGCAAGACCTGGCATCCCAGGTGCTTCCAATGCACTCAGTGTGCAATACCTCTCTCACCTAATAATTTCTACGAGAAAAATGGCAAACCTTACTGTGAGAATGACTTCCATAAACTATTCTCTCCAAAATGTGCCGGTTGTAAGACACCCATTACTGATGTACGTGTTTTAATTTTATAATTTAAGATTAGAAAAGTATCAGGGTTACTCTCTTATACAGTATATAGATCATTATATTTGAGTCCGAGATTCTTATATTTGTTTTACCCAACTAATAGGGTAATCAAGTGAACGCAATGGGTAAGCCCTGGCACCCTCTATGCTTTGTATGCACAGAATGTGCCAAACCTTTGGGACCCAATAATTTCTTCGAGAAGAATGGAAAGCCTTACTGTGAGGACGACTATCACAGACTATTCTCACCCAAATGTGCCGGATGTCGGCTCCCAATTAAGGATGTAATGTTTAGTGCAATCATTTTGTATTAGATGTACTCATATGATGTATTTGTAAACATAGGGTAAGATAATCCGTGCGCTGGGGAAGGACTGGCACCCCCTGTGCTTCAAATGCACGGAATGCGCGATTCCACTCAATCCGGACAACTTCTACGAGAAGAATGGCAAACCTTACTGTGAAAACGATTTCCACAAATTGTTTTCGCCAAAGTGTGCTGGATGTCTACTGCCCATCACTGATGTGAGTGAAACTATAGGTGGAGATTAATTTAGTGAATTAATTAAATCATTAAAACAATTAAAGGGAAATATATTGCCTGCAATGGGCAAGAATTGGCACCCACTTTGCTTTAAGTGCACTGAATGTGCCATTCCGTTAACACCGCCTCATTTCCGTGAGAAAAATGGAAAGCCTTATTGCGAAAGGGATTACAATCGACTGTTTTCGCCACCTTGTCATGGATGTGGTCTTCCCATCACTGATCCGGTAAATACATAATGGTTTTGATATTATAAAAATTGAAAGAAAATTATATTTACAAATTCTAAATCAATTCTATAGTCAACTATGGTTAAGGCAATGGGCAAGAACTGGCACCCGCAGTGCTTTCATTGCCATGAATGTCATCGACCACTCACTCCCACCAACTTCTTCGAGAAGAATGGCAAACCTTATTGTGAAGACGATTATCACAAACTATTTTCGCCCAAATGCTCGGAATGTAATCTTCCCATCAGAGGAGCCGTAATATTAAACCATTTAAATGATTCATAAATAGATTTAATTGCAATATATTTCTATAAACAGCCATTGGTTGCAATGGGACGTCAGTGGCACCCGAACTGCTTTAAGTGCTATCAATGCGGTATACCTTTGAGCCCCAATAACTTCAAAGAAAAGGATGGAAAGCCTTATTGTAATAAACACTTCCAAGAGATGTTTTTGCCTAAATGTTACGGATGCAAACTCCCTATCGCTGATGTAATAAATTATAATTTTCCAATATTGATATCATTTACCGATAATTATCCGTAAACTTTTATCCAAATAGAAAGTACTTCAGGCAATGGGCCATAACTGGCACCCGGACTGTTTCTGTTGTGCCGTTTGTCGTAAGCCATTGGGTGCCGACGGATACCGTGAGAAGGATGGTCTGCCGTACTGTGACTTCGACTATCACGCGCTCTTCTCCCCCAAGTGTGCCGCATGTCATGCGCCCATTCGGGAGGTCTATTCACTTCATGACACGCTTTCTA